AGAAGAAGAAGAAGAAGAAGAAGAAAAAGAAGAAGAAGAAGAAGAAGAAGAAGAAGAAGAAGAAGAAGAAGAACAAACATAATAATAACAAACATATCAAGTCCTGGCTCAGTCAGTTGAGCCTACTCCCACCAACAGTCAGCCGTTAACATTTTGCCGTCACATCTCGTCGACCGGCAAGAATGCCGAACTTCTGCACTTGTCACAAAAACGCCGATCAGCCATGTTTTTACCACCAAGTTTCTCTGGATTTCCCCCAAAGTGCTTGTTGTGATGGCTAGGGTTTTTACTATATTATGAGCCTTGTGATGGTAAAGTGGCTAATGAATGGACTGATAGAACGAGTGTTTACCAACGACGTCCTCCCCCTGGATCATTCGGTCCGCGTCTCCGTAGGAGCGGAGGAACGACCTGGAGTAGATCAGCAGCCAGAAGCCCCACTTCCAGGTCATGAAGCACCAGACGCACGTCAGGTAGTAGCCCGGCCCGTACACAATCAGGTCTGGGGGGGGGGGGAGAAACACATGTTATATATATATACAATTTTTTGTTGTTAGTTTTTTAGGTAAGTGTTTTACGGTGCTCGCAACTGCATAAGGTCATAATATGAGCGTGCGGGACATACCAAACATTTTCAGCTGGTAAGAAATTTTTAACCCTTGCCCGCGTGGCAGCCGAAGCCTACTCTTATCAATTTTGGACCACCAAGGGATCTTTAACGTGCGCAACTTGCATACTGGACCTCCAAGATTTTTCGCCCTTGTCCGAGAAGGCTAGGTGTAGATCTTTCCTACCATAAGATCAGGGGTGTGGCTGAAAGACAGCAGTAAGAAGGGGCCAAGGAAAAGCAGTAAAAAGGCTGCAGAAAGAGTCAGGAGCCCAGAGGAGAAGGCAAAAGAGGTGAGGGGGTGGGGGCAGAAAGTGGAGACGAAAGCAGACAACAGAACATTGCTAGAGAGAAGGAAAGGAGGTGAAAGGAGACAATTTTAGTGAAGAAAAATTTCTTTCGCTATCCGGATTTGAACCCGGGACCTATTGAATGAGAGGCGAACAACTTAACCTTCAGGCCACAAGAGCCCCCCCATATACGTTAATACATTTTTTAAAAAATATATATAGTCACATATATATTTATATTATTGTTGACCAGCTATTGTACTCATCCCAAACTTTTGAAATTCTTTCCCTTCAAGTTGCTTAATGTAGACCTACCAATGGCACCCTCTCACCACCCGCAGGTTTCTTGCACAGACACAAAAAAAACTGATCATAAATGAGAGACTGACCTTGATTGTTTGTGATCGCCAGAACGAGGTATGTCACGAACCCACAGACACCAGCGAGCTGTATGAAACATCCTGCCAGCATAAACCCCTTCAGACGTCGCGGGTTCGAGTCCCACATATGTTTGATGTACGCGATGGTGACTCCGAGAGCAACTGCAGCTGCAATACCTGGGAGAATAATAAGTTTGGAAAAATGGTGACTTACTTACTTAACCCTATCCGTACGTCGTGTTTTACTACTGCATCCATACGATGTGGGGAACTCTGTGCCACCACTTAACCCTATCCGTACATCGTGTTTTACTACTGCATCCATACGATGTGGGGAACTCTGTGGCACCACTTTCCAAAAAGGAAATTTACCCATTAATCCGACCCATATGCTTTGCATCTATAGCAGTCTGTCAAAATGAATTTTTGAGAAATACTGAAAGTTTCAAAGAGAACTTCGCACTAGAAGTATTCTAAAATGTGAAGAATACAACCCCAGGGGTGCAAAATGATGCCACTTTTATTCACTCTTTCTGTACAAAGTTATTCTGAATGAAAAAACGTTGACAGGAAAAATGAGCACACCATCAACATGTATGCTAGAGGCATCTGTGGCTTAGTGTTTTGGCTATCAGACTCTGAACCATAAGATCGTGTGTTCAAATCTCGTCAAAGGTCAGATTTTTTGTCCTTGGAAAAAGTCCCTTTACTTAAAACACAAATTTTCCTCACTCCTTCTGGTAGGAATGGGTGCCCGGCTATAGACTAAATCCACCCAAAAACAAGCAAAAAGTATTTCCAAAATACCCCCCGACAAACAGGAGGCATTTTATTTCACATTGAGAGTTGACGAGAAAACAGAACTCAAGATTACATTCATAAATGTGGTATATTCCAAGAAAATAAAACACGTAGTAAAGGTTTAACTTTAGAATCAATCCCCCAAGAAACACAAATGACCAAAATTCGTATCCCGTCTGTTACAACAGTCCACTCAAACCCTGAATCTTCTAAACCTTATCATGCCTTTATGCAGACCAGGCACCTGTTGATGGCCTTTTAATTTTATTAACTATGACTATACTGACTGGGTTAAACGGGGCGCCCACTGTGGGTCGGGTCGGGTAGGGGGCAATCACCCCACTCATTGCCGGAAAACAAACGCGTTTGTTTTTGAGGCGACGAGCCGGGCGCTATCGGCTTGTGCCGCGATACTCGCTTTGCGCCCTCAATCTGGCTAGCAAACCGACCCGACCAGACCCAATCCCCCAATGGGCACCCTGTATTACAGTGCCAAAATGGTTGCTCTTTCCCCTCCATAAGAGCAAAATCTGGATGGCCCCAACTCCATTCGATTAAATCTAATTAGCAGTGTGCAGTGCACTGACATCTCATACCAAGATCACGTTTCAAATGCTGAGGTACGAAAGAGAATCACCAACGCAGTGAGGCAGTATGAAGATCTACTGACCACAGCGAAGAGATGAAAATTAAAATGGTATGGGCGTGTAGCAAGATCCACAGGACTTGCCAAAACAATCCTGTAAGGAACCGTACAAGGAAAGAGAAAGAGAGGAAGGCAGAGAAGGAGATGGGAGGACAACATAACAGAGTGGACAGGAAAGACGATGGGTGACAATCTAAGGAAAGCAGAGGACAAAAACAGACGGCAAGAGCTGGTTTTCAGATGCAGTGCTGCCCCCACGGTTGCCCCAACCACGGGATAGAAGAAAAAGAAGAAATGCACTAATTAAATGTCAATCGCGTAGACAGAAAGTCATCATGGATAGAAGAAGAAGAAGAAATGCACTAATTAAATGTCAATCGCGTAGACAGAAAGTCATCATGGATAGAAGAAGAAGAAGAAATGCACTAATTAAATGTCAATCGCGTAGACAGAAAGTCATAAAAAAATAGAGGTAAAAAGTTACCAGATCCAATCTTAAGAGATTATTTCCCCCCCCCCCCCTCAATCTTCAAGTAGGAAATAAAAATGTTGTGTGAAAGATTCATTCACGACCTTGTTATCTCTCAAGCAGCAACATTCCCTGTTGTCTTTTTTAGATATGACCTTTGTGAGGTATTGTGGTGAAATCAGGCGTTGGCCAAAATAACGAAATAGTAGAAACTGATCTTTTTTGAGCTTTTGAGCAATTTTATTGAATTTTATTTTTGGGCTCAGCACCTTTTATTTCATTTGAAAACAGATTCCAGCAGATTTTACTGAAAAGCGTTGATCAAAGGCATTTTTTTAAAAAGTAAAATTTTGCAGTTTAGTTTCCAAGACACTACAGCTTTGGCAAACATTGGCGGTCGTTTTCGTGGCAGGTTTACCTCTGACATCAAACGGTGCCCACCTACTCCTACTTCAATTGCACTTTATTATATCTCCGCTTCTGTTTGAGATAGATAGATGAGTTTTATCATCAAAAGTGAGAGCAAGGCAAATATGAACAAGCTTTACAATGGTTAAAAAATCCACATGCCTAAAAATTGACGAGCGCCTGATCCCAACGCGTCGTGACACCAATCACACAGTAAAGTAATAAAATATCAGGGGTAAAAAATAATCAGGTCCAATCTAACACTTTGCAGTCACGCAGCCAGCAGTACAAAATACCCCATCTGATCACCCAGCCAGGAGAGCGACTACAACAGACTTCACGGGCCTGGCGCAGAACTGCACCAGGTGACTGGAACGGATAATTTTCATCGCCGCATCATTGCACCAAGTCGTCCAAGTGACTGCAAAGTGTTATTTTAATAAAGAGACTTTTTCCCCTCAACCTAATTAGTAGAAGAAAAAAAACGTTGAGTGAAAGACTCCGTCATGACCTCGAATAATAAAATTTAATTATCTTTCAAACTGCTATACATTCCCTGCTGTTGTCTATAAAATATTTTTCATCAGTTCCTGTAGTGCAGTATAGTATTATCACACAGGGGAAGGTTGACAAAATTGTAGTTAAACAACTAGGACACCCTGATAACCCACAATCTCAATAAATGTCGACCAAAAACAGCGTACACATGTCCTAGGCCGGCATGAGAAGACATCCATCCAGATAACACCATGTCTCATGACCTGGTTAACTATAGTTGAACCTGCCTAAACGGAAACCTGTATAAAACGGAAACCTGTCTTAACGGAATCTTCCCGCTCCCCCCTTGATATAGTCCTCTTTAACTACCTGTATAAAACAGAACCTGTCCAACGCGGAAACAGAAAGAAAAATCTGCTCCCTTCCGAGGGTTTCACCTGTCTAAGACGGAAAATGCTTCGCCCGCTCAGCCCTGATTTGAAACAAAACTCGCAAGTTTGGTTCCGCTGGCTCTAAACTAACGCTATGTTCATGCGGCTGGCCGAGGAAGAGGAATAGGGGTCACAGAATTCTGTGGTAGGGGTACAATTTGGGGGTAGATGTTACCCAAGGAGTTTAGAACTACTTTTAATCTCCTTGATGTTACCCCATCATGTGAGCCCTGAGCGATGCAGATGGTCAGTGTAGTGTGGGTGTGAAATCTCACGACTGCCCGTGAGAATGCTTGAGTAGCGAGCCCCTACGGAAACTTTCCTGGTCCCAAAAGCCAGAGGTGTGAAATTAGATTGACCAATGCCTACCGCCCTAATCGTACGGCCAGCCGAGAAAAGAGTTCCTTGAATCGTTGTTACAATGATGGCAGTAAGGGGTGGCATTGGTGGGTGGGGCTATGGGTGGAAGCAAAGGAGATGTTCAAACGTTTGTTTTTAATAGGTCAAACAGTGGTCCTATGAAAGGCAAGCACTGGTGGTAGTTGAATAAAAGTAAGATTGACGCATGTCATTATCAGACAGGATAGCAAATGAGAGGTGTGAAGTTTTGACCGCTGCTTGCCGATCGGACAAGCGATCCTTGATCCCGCCGGCTGGGCCTTTGAACCCCCCCACACCCACCCCAATCTGCACCTAAATTCCCCTGTCTAAGACGGAATTTTTTTCTGGCTCCCTTGCGATTCCGCCTTTTACACAGGTTCGACTGTATACTGTGTACACATACAGAGAAGAAAATTTACCAAGCAGCTTCCTCTATAGATCTATATAGAGGCTAGATCTATGGAGTCTTGATATTATTGATATTAATTAGACAAATTAATTCGATGTGGAAATGGCAATGAGGAGGGGAAGGACATTTAATTTTAAAAGGTAGAGCATGGAAGTTTGGAAGAGGAGCTGAAGTGAAATAGGGGATGACAGTCTGAAAATTTGTTCTTGGTGAAATTTAAAAAAAGAAAAGATTTTTCCCTATTTCACCTGCCTTTCACAGGTCAGCGCTATCTATGCACTTGCACCAGACTGCCCACCCTAGCTGTCCAACGAAGGTCCTCAACTAGATTGTATAAAACTTGTCAAGAAAGAACTTTTAGACTAGAATCAGCGGGAGAAGGACTGCAATTAAAATTAGAATCTAGATCTAGATCTAGGCGTACAGTAAAGCGTGTAAAGTAAAGACAAGTAAAGTAAAGCTTACCCGAGGTCAACCCCCATAAAGCTACGTTGTAATTGTGGTAGTGTGCACCGAACACAGCACAGATAGACAAACCGACGAAGACGCCGATGGTACTGAACACAATCCTTGATTTGATAGCACAACTGGATATTTGTCTCACTTCTATATAATCTTCCATTTTGATGGAAAAGACTTCACTAGGTTTGTCGTACTACTAATTGGTTGCCTGCCAGCTCGAGACACTCGTACGCAAGTTGCAGATCCAGCAGAGCTACTATCGACTATCGACTATCGACTAAACGTAGTGTGTAGTTTGGCGTAGCCTACGGGGGTCACTGTGGGTAACCTAATCTAACCTTTGACACAAAAACACACCACACACATGACCATTGATGACATCGATAGCATTCCCAGATTGCCTTCAGATTTCCCGCAAGCAGTAGGCCCAAGAACTAGCTTTAGTTAGAGTTTTTTTTTGTGTGTGTGTGTGTGCGTCAAAGAAATGGTGCGTGTTGATGACTTTTGAATCATAATTATTCAATTAAATTAATTTATTTACGTGTATTTTGTTTGAGCTTGTGGGTGCTTCAGTTCTTCACTGATCCGTTTTGCAAAAAAAAATAATCTTTTTCTCGTATGTTGGAAGAGGAAGGGGGAAAAAAGCTACGACTAGGACTGGTGCTGTTCGGTCACACCACCACTCAGCCAAAACAATTTAACAGGAATTAATTATTATTGATTGCACTGATTACGTAAATCGGAATTGTTATTGGTTGGTTGATCGTGTTATTTTTCAAATAAAACGAGGAGACAAATTGCGCAAAAACAGACAGATATAATTTAGAAATCACGAGAGATCGAGAGAGAGAGAGAGAGAGAGAGAGAGAGAGAGAG